TTGCTGTGAGTGGTTTTTTTTATTAAAATTCGTACGTGTACACCGCGTGTCGGTTGAGATTCAAAATGAGAAGCCGTTGAGCGAACCACGTTCCGAGCTTTACACAGAGAATATCACAATGAGCAGACTAGAGACGGCCTGATTATATTAATCAGATAAGATCCGGACGATGAAGATTATATTAATCTCACCGAACTTGTACTTTTTGAGAAGACGTATGCAAAGTTGAGAAGACACGTGCAGTTGGAACGAGATGTAGAGAACAAGTGAAGATGGCTGCCTGAGAAACCGGCGTCACGGCGCTTCTTCAACCGCTGAGATGAGTTATGGCGAGTCTGCATTGAGCGACAACTGTCGCGAGTTCTGATTGGGAATTCAATATCCTAAACATTTCCGCCCGCCATCAGCAACGAAGTTGATAATGAGTTATGCTGCCTTCTGAGGGGCTACTGAGAGGATTGCGAGCTTGGTGATTGGCCTGGTGAGTGTTGTGGTAGCCGTCTTCAACGATACAACCCTGGTGAGTCCATCCTCCCCTGGCAGCAATTTGAGCACCCTAGTAATAAGCCATTTTCCTGGAGGCAAACGCTTATCAGTAAGGAGAACAAGTGAACCTACCTGAATCTGGTTGTGAGCGTGATGCCACTTTGAGATGGCTTGTAATTGTTGTAAATATTGAGTTGACCACATGCGCCAGAACTGTTAAACTCGTTGCTGGATGAACTGCCATCTGGAGAGCCGACTTGCTAAGATGTCCAATAGTGAGCCTTCATGGACAGCGTTGAGTGCCGTTCCGATGAGAAAGTGCCCTGGTGTGAGCACTAAGGTATCTTCTGGATCTTTGCTGAGCGGTTCGAGTGGTCTATAATTGAGAATGGCTTCAATTTGAGTGAGGAGTGTGGAAGTCTCCTCATACGTAAGCAGTGTGTCTCCGACAGATCTTCTGAGATGAAACTTAAGAGACTCGACTACTGCTTCCCATTTCCCACCCATGTGGGGGGCTGCAGGCGGGTTGAAATGCCACTGTGTTTTGTCCTGAGCTAGCACAGAAGAGATCTCCCGGCGTTCTGAAGAGCTTTCTGAGAAACATTGCATGAGCTTAACTTCAGCGCCCAAGAAGTTGGTGCCACAATCAGCGTAGAGGTCTGACGGGACACCCCGCCTTGAGGTGAAGCGTCTGTAAGTTGCAATGAAGCCCTCGGCTTAGTAGTCTGAAACGACATCGAGATGAGCGGTCAAAGTTGATAGACAGACAAATACACAGATCCAACCCTTGTGAGTCTTGGAGCCACGTCCTTTCCACGTCTTGAGCGTGAGCGGTCCAGCGTAGTCAATGCCTGTGTGAGAGAACGGGCGTGATGGAGTGACTCGCGCCAGAGGTAGTTGGCCCATCAGTTGCTGAGCACGGATCCCCCTGTAACGAGCACACACCACACACCTGAGA